ATTATATAAAAAACGAAAAATAAAGTTAAAAAATCATGTTGTGCAATTTTTTTTAAACTATATGGACCAAATTTGAACTTTAAACTCAATTTTATGACTACTTTTGCAAAATAGATAACAAAGTTAAACATGAAACTCGCTAAGTGGTCTAGAATGATAATTCTGCGAGAAATTTGTGACCATAACAATAATAAAAAAAATATTATGATTTTTTCCAATTACGCACACTACTAGAAAAAGGGGTATCAACGACGAACAATTTCGTTGTTGATCCGTCGCTGAAAGCTATCAGCGATAGATTTTGGTAGTCGGAAAAACCCTTATCGCTAATTGTCAGCGAGGGATTCGACAAGGGATTAGCGACGGATTACCGATGCCACAATTGATCATGGAACCTCTCAGATTTCGTCGCTAATCTGTCGCTAATCCATCGCTAATGAGTTATTTAACTACGAAATAACTTGTCGGGAAAGCTCAGAAAACCTATGGATTTCATCGTATTTCCGTTGCTAATTTTCAGTTTTATCATTAGTTTTTCTGTTCTAAATCTATAACGAGAATTTACAAAATAAATTTAATGTAAATAATAAACTAAAATTAAAATTCAACTACTAAATTAAATATTAATAATTGACTAGCAAACTGAAGATTTATATTCAATTTCAAAGTATCAAAACCATATCACATTCAAAGTGTCGAAACTAAATCAACAAAATCAAGTTTCAAAGTCTATATCGATTTCAAAGTATTGAAACCAAGTTACAAAAATCAAGTGTCAAAATCTAACTAGTTGGGTAGGTTACTTGATTGGGTGAATCGTGTGAATGTCGTTATAAATCTTGACAATTTCTTGTTTTTTGGCAGCAATTTCTTTCTGCCCTAAGCTCATCCTTCATCTCCTCACAAATACGATCAACAATAATCCACAAAACGAAATTTGTAGCAACATACTTTCAATAAACTTGTCCTTCATCCTTTAAAACTAATTTCATTTTAAAAGCTAAACAAACCATTAATTGATAACAACATTATAACTTATAAGAGACATTACTTTGGTTTTCCATCTCGAGTGAATGATTTGGAGTTTATACCAGATAATGTATGATCCAACTTCCGACTTTGATTCTGAAAAAAAAATATACAAGGTAATTAGAAAATCAGCCATTAAATCATTAAGATAAAGACTTTGCTGTTTTTCAAAATGTTGTTAGTGGGTATAAGCATGTGACATAACTGGTATCAGACCGAGAATCACAAATACCAAATAGTATGAAAAGTCAATCCTGATGAACAAACCGAATTATTAGTACTATGGTATCGGTACCGACACTGACCATAATACCGGTTTTCGGTCCTAGTACTTCTGAGATAGCAGTGTACTTCTCAGTCAAAAATATATTGCTATTATGGAGTGGGTATTGAAAGTTCATTGCCATTTTCTACATGCTTAGACTTGACATTTACCTGAACATGAACATGCAGTCATATCAAAAAACTTATGTATCATGTCATGTTTTGATTCTAAATCCAAGCACCTGTTGTACCAAGAAATCACCTCTTCAATTTCTGTTATACATTCTGCATCTTGACTATGTTTTTCTTCATTTTCTTTTAGACCTTTGAACCAAAGAGTAATATAAAGAATGATTAAGGAATCATCACTCCATTGTGATATAATATTAGATAAAAATTAAATTGAAAGTAGATAATACAAAAAGAAAACCTTCAAATGTGTCTAATATGATTGCTACAAATTCATCCTTTTATGGTTCTCTGATCAACCAAAATTTTCCTATGTTCTTCAAGTCTAGCTTTTGTAGCAGAAATGGAGTCTTCTATGGCCATTTTTTTTTTTGCCTTTTTCTAGTACCTCACTACATATCCATTAACAAATCGAACATAAAACTAGTTTAGCTTTGTTACTTTAACCCGTCCATCATTTAACCACTTATATAACTGAAGGGAAATGGTAAAAGGAAATCACATTAAACATTAAATCAGAGAGAATTCTTTGTAACGTTCGATTGTTATTTCCTAAAAATATACAACTGACTTTTATGATATTAGTCCAAAATTTTAATTTATAAATTTTTATATAGAAAGAAATATTTCCATATTCTAGCCTAGAGGTACCAAGTGTTGTTATGTCTTCTTGGGATCGAAGGTTCATGTTTACTACGGTACATAGATGATATTAAAAGTAGTTTAAAGAGTATGTTAGATCTATTAAACTTTTTTATATCTCATTAATACATGGGTTTGTAACCTAGTTTATCATAAAATACTTTGTTGACTTATAATAATACATTGGTTGTGAAATCCATATATTACATGAGTTTGTTTCAAAAAAAAATTAAATATTAAAGTTTAAATATTTGAGAAATTTAAATTTATAAGAAAAATTAAAAATATATATATTGAATTATTAAAATTAAAGTGTTTTTTTTTTCGCTTTTAGATTTTAAAAAATATTTTAGATAAATAAATAAAAAAAATAATGAGACTTTAATTTAATAATTTTAAAATTATAAGGTAGATCCATTAATGAAATTAATATCTATTTATTATTATATTTATTGTAAATTATTATATTTAAATATTATATGAAATTTAATAAAATGAAAATACCAAAAAATAACATTTCGACAAAAAATAATTTAAAATAACCACAAAATAGTTTCCGAAAAAGAATAAAAATATTACATCTAGCAAAAAAATATTTAATATTTATTTATTGAAGCAGACTAATTATTTATTATCTATATGATTAACTTTTCAAGAAAAAAAAAAGTAGCCATCTCCGGTTTGGACCTTGTCGAATTTCCCACAATCCGCGTCTATATAATTGGAGCTCAACAGAACAGATTTAGCACCTGCGACAAGGATGGCTTCATTTATCTTTTCCACCGTTCCCTCAGCCACCGAAGTCACCACCAACAACTTCTCCCATTCCTCGATATTTTCCGAAACTTCCTCTCACCGATTCAAATATACTCATGAAAACCAAACCCATCGTTTCAAAGTCTCATGCAACACAACCTCAGACGACAAATATGATACACTGCAAACATCACTTGACAAGAAGAATGTAGACCGGAGAAACTTGCTTCTGGGGCTCGGTGGAACTCTCTACGGTGCCGCCAACTTGACCTTCCTCCCGTCCGCCTTCTCGGTTCCCATTGCTGCTCCCAATGTTTCAGACTGTGCTATTGCCAGTAAAGGTATACACAACATCAAAGATGCTGTAAGGGGGGTAGCTTGTTGCCCACCAGTACTGACACTAAATTCCCCAAAAGATTACGTCTTCCCAAAGGAGACCGCTGTTCGTATCCGTCCGGCAGCACAAAGAGCCTCTGACGATTACATTGACAAGTATAAAGCAGCAATGAAGGCCATGAGGGATCTCCCAGATGACCACCCACACAGTTTCAAGCAACAAGCTAAGATCCATTGCGCTTATTGCAATGGCTCTTACACTCAAAAAGAGAGTGGTAAGGAATATGAAAACATCACACTCCAGATTCATAACTCGTGGCTCTTCTTTCCTTTCCACCGGTGGTACCTCTATTTCTACGAGAGGATATTGGGAAAGTTGATTGATGAACCAAGTTTCGCGATACCATACTGGAATTGGGACAACCCCACCGGAATGATAATCCCTGACTTGTTTGAAAAACCCATCCAAGTAAGGGAACGCAAAGAAAACCCCGTCTTTGACGCTTACAGGGATGCTAGACACCTCCCACCAGCTCTGGTTGATATCGATTATAACGGTGAAGACCGTGGCGTTTCATGTATAGACCAAATAACAATTAATTTGTCTGCAATGTATAAGCAGATGATCAGTAATGCTAGTGACCCAACAAGCTTCTTTGGTGGCAGATACGTCGCTGGGATGGACCACGACGACAAAAATAGTCATGGAAGTCCATCGGTTGGCTCCATAGAAGCTGGTTGTCACACAGCGGTGCACCGATGGGTGGCTGATCCTCGGATGCCGAACAATGAGGACATGGGAAACTTCTACTCCGCAGGGTATGATCCTATCTTTTATGCTCACCACGCCAATGTTGACCGGATGTGGAAAATCTGGAAAGAGTTGGGTATCAGGGGACACCGTGAACCAACCGACAAGGACTGGCTAGATGCATCATACGTGTTTTACGATGAGAATGAAGAACTTGTACGTGTCTACAACCGAGACTGTGTGGATTTGAATAAGCTTAACTACGACTATGAAACATCCCGTATCCCGTGGGCCAGAAATCGGCCGATCCCACGTGCTAAGAATCCTCAAATTGCAAAAAGGTCGGCTCGAATGGGGAGGGGGTTCCACGACGTGCAATTTCCGGTGAAGTTAGACGGGATAGTAAAGGTGCTAGTGAAAAGACCTTATGCAAACAGGACTAAGGAGGAGAAGGAGAACGCAAATGAGATATTGATGTTGAATGGAATTTGTTTTGATAGCGAGAAGTTTGTCAAGTTTGATGTGTATGTGGATGACAAGGACGATGAACCAGAAACCACTGCGGCTGATAGCGAGTTTGCAGGTAGCTTTGCGCAGTTGCCTCACCATCAATCAGGTGACAAGATGTTCATGACAAGTGCCGCGAGATTCGGGTTAACAGAGTTGTTGGAGGACATTGAAGCTGAAGATGATGACTCTATTATGGTGACTTTGGTTCCTAGGACAGGGTCCGATGATATCACAATTTCAGAGATCAAGATTGAGCTGGTCCCCATCGTTTGAACTTCAATAATGTAATCGCATTTTCATGTCCATGTAATAAGTTCGTTTTCTGTGTTGTGTTTAATTAGGAGAATTTGCTGAGTTCTCTTAACCTCAAAAAAGGGCAATAAGTTGGTAGCGTTAAAGTGTTATCACTCGTGACTCGTGTATGTGATTAAAGTTGATCAATTAATAAAAAATTTCCTGTTGTTTCACTCATACTATTTCATGTATTATTGCTGATGATATGCTCATATTTCACCACCTCACATACACATTCCTCACAAGCATGCTTTGTTTGTATTGTGTGTGCATGTGTCTTGTCTGTGGTTTGCATGTAAAACGAGGCAGAGAATTGTGTCTTCTGGCGAGTTTTGTGTTCTTTTTAGAGACGGGACAGTAAAAGGTGTATGTGAGAGAATTTAAAATACCAAGTAGGAGATGTGTGTGGATGTGTCTTGTTGTATTTGGATTTTGTGTGCGTTTGAGTTAGACCAGTAAATACGAGGGGTTTTGACCTAGACACTACTAGAAAAATTGGTGTTAGCTACAAAATATTTCCTACGGACTAATTTTGTAGGAAATATCCTTCTAATTTCCTACAAACTTGCGACACAACTGGAATCCAACAAACTTCCTACGGATTACCGACAAAAGTAGATACCTTAGAAATTTCGTAGGAAAAACGTCGGTATTTTCCAACAAAATCTTAATTAATATTTAAATATATTGGAATTTCGTAGAAAACATATTTAGCGGGAATCAGAAAACTTTTCCCATCTTTTGTTTTGCTTTTCCCTCCTTTTTTTTTTCTTTTTTCTTTTTTTTCTTCCACCATTTTTAAAATATTATTATTATTACTACTATTTTATATTATTATTAATATTAATATAATTATAATTAGTTGATATTATTATTAATGTAAATATAATAATCATTATTACTATTATTTTGATTATTATTGTTATTATTTTCTTATTAGATTTATTATAATTAGATTTATTATAATTAGATATTTTAGTATTAGGCGTAGTATAATTATATGTTTTTATTAATACCAGGTTTATTAAAATTATAAAATTATATTAGTATTAGTAAAACCCCAATGTCGAAATTAATGAGATTAAATGATTAG